TATAGGTGTAGTGGTGTTTTGAAGGCGTGGATGTTATAGGTGTACTTGTGTACTGGTGTTTGAAGGCGTGGATGTTATAGGTGTAGTGGTGTTTTGAAGGCGTGGATGTTATAGGTGTACTGGTGTTTTGAAGGCGTGGATGTTATAGGTGTACTGGTGTTTGAAGGCGTGGATTTTATAGGTGTACTTGTGTACTGGTGTTTGAAGGCGTGGATGTTATAGGTGTACTGGTGTTTTGAAGGCGTGGATGTTATAGGTGTACTGGTGTTTTGAAGGCGTGGATGTTATAGGTGTACTGGTGTTTGAAGGCGTGGATGTTATAGGTGTACTGTAATGTTGGTGTACTGGTGTTTGAAGGCGTGGATTTTATAGGTGTACTTGTGTACTGGTGTTTGAAGGCGTGGATGTTATAGGTGTACTGGTGTTTTGAAGGCGTGGATGTTATAGGTGTACTGGTGTTTTGAAGGCGTGGATGTTATAGGTGTACTGGTGTTTGAAGGCGTGGATGTTATAGGTGTACTGTAATGTTGGTGTACTGGTGTTTGAAGGCGTGGATGTTATAGGTGTACTTGTGTACTGGTGTTTGAAGGCGTCGATGTTATAGGTGTACTGGTGTTTGAAGGCGTGGATGTTATAGGTGTACTGGTGTTTTGAAGGCGTGGATGTTATAGGTGTACTGGTGTTTGAAGGCGAGGATGTTATAGGTGTAATGGTGTACTGGTGTTTGAAGGCGTGGATGTTAAAGGTGTACTGGTGTTTGAAGGCGAGGATGTTATAGGTGTACTGGTGTTTGAAGGCGAGGATGTTATAAGTGTACTGGTGTACTGGTGTTTGAAGGCGTGGATGTTATAGGTGTACTGGTGTTTGAAGGCGTGGATGTTATAGGTATACTGGTGTTTGAAGTCGTGGATGTTATAGGTGTACTGGTGTTTGAAGGCGTGGATGTTATAGGTATACTGGTGTTTGAAGGCGAGGATGTTATAAGTGTACTGGTGTACTGGTGTTTGAAGGCGTGGATGTTATAGGTATACTGGTGTTTGAAGGCGTGGATGTTATAGGTGTACCGATGTTTGAAGGCGTGGATGTTATAGGTATACTGGTGTTTGAAGGCGTGGATGTTATAGGTGTACTGATGTTTGAAGGCGTGGATGTTATAGGTGTACTGATGTTTGAAGGCGTGGATGTTATATGTGTACTGGTGTTTGAATGTGTGGATGTTATATGTGTACTGGTGTTTGAATGCGTGTATGTTATATGTGTACTGGTGTTTGAATGCGTGTATGTTATAGGTGTACTGTAATGTTGGTGTACTGGTGTGAAGACATGGATGTTATAGGTGTACTGGTGTACTGGTGTTTGAAGGCGTGGATGTTATAGGTGTACTGGTGTACTGGTGTTTGAAGGCGTGGATGTTATAGGTGTACTGGTGTACTGGTGTTTGAAGGCGTGGATTTTATAGGTATACTGGTGTTTTGAAGGCGTGGATGTTATATGTGTACTGGTGTTTTGAAGGCGTGGATTTTATAGTTGTACTGGTGTACTGGTGTTTTGAAGGCGTGGATGTTATATGTGTTCTGGTGTTTTAAAGGCGTGTATGTTATATGTGTACTGGTGTACTGGTATTTGAAGGCGTGGATGTTATAGGTGTACTGGTGTTTTGAAGGCGTGGATTTTATAGGTGTACTGGTGTTTGAAGGCGTGTATGTTGTTCTCAAATTAGGTGAAACATCTTACATTGTGGATATGTTGCAGCTGTTTGTGTGGCTTGTTTAGAATGCGCGGTCTGTTTGTTTTGAAGCACATATTGTAATGTTTAAAGGCACGTGTGAATCAGTGGGTTTAACCAGTGGTGAATGAGTGGGTTTAACAAGTAGTTAATGAATGGGTTTAACCATCAGTGAATGAGTGGGTTTAACAAGTGGTTAATGAATGGGTTTAACCATTAGTGAATGAGTGGGTTTAACAAGTAGTTAATGAATGGGTTTAACCATCAGTGAATGAGTGGGTTTAACAAGTGGTTAATGAATGGGTTTAACCATCAGTAAATGAGTGGGTTTAACAAGTGGTTAATGAATGGGTTTAACCATCAGTGAATGAGTGAGTTTAACAAGTGGTTAATGAATGGGTTTAACCATCAGTGAATGAGTGGGTTTAACAAGTGGTTAATGAATGGGTTTAACCATCAGTGAATGAGTGAGTTTAACAAGTGGTTAATGAATGGGTTTAACCATCAGTGAATGAGTGAGTTCAACAAGTAGTTAATGAATGGGTTTAACCATCAGTGAATTAGTGAGTTTAACAAGTGGTTAATGAATGGGTTTAACCATCAGTGAATGAGTGAGTTTAACAAGTAGTTAATGAATGGGTTTAACCATCAGTGAATTAGTGAGTTTAACCAACGTCGAATGAAGTCAAATTTCTTACACCCTTATTTTGGTGCCGTTGTGCCGTTTCTATGGCGCTTGTTTTTCATCTCCTTTTGTTTTTGTTTTGTTTTTGTTTTGTTTTGTTTTGTTTTTTTAAGTACACAATTATCTGTCATGATTGTCAGAGGAAATCATCCAAGTGATTTTGTTTCCTCGCTAAGTGGTTTTGTAGCTATGAGTTTGTGTCGCTGTGTTTTTGTCGCTCAGTATTTTTGTCGCTATGTGTTTTTGTGGTTGTTTTTTTTTTTTCTCTATGTGTTATTGGCTGTGTTTGTGTCGCTGTATTTTTGTCGCTCTCTGTTTTTCTGGTTATGCTTTTGTCGCAATTGTTTTTTGTCGCTCTATGTTATAGTTCCTCTATGTTTTATCGCTTTGTGTTTTTGTCATTATGTGTTTTTGTCGCTTCGTGTTCCTAGTGGACCTGGAGCCATGTAGAGACATTTTCTCTAGTCACATCCTGGTCTGGCATAACTGAATGCCTGGTTACGGTCTGGTGTAGAAGTACAGCATCTAGATCTATATGCTACGGTTAGAAATATAAGCCATCGGCACAAATCACTTTAAGCTTCCAACTAGGCTAAAACGTATTCACATTTTTTTCAATTTTTATATTTTGTTGAACTATACATTGTTTTGTTCATTTTTAGCGCAATTTCCATACGGACAATTGCGATTATTAACTCGTCTTTTCTGGATGGATGTGTGTCCCCAGCTTTAAGTCGTATCTCCTCCTCAACGAAGCAAACTCGAGGACTAGTTCCAAAAGCAAATATGTTAAGCAAGTTCCGATGATGGTTGTGGGCCAAAAAAATTTCCGGAATTCCTTCCTGGATTTCCCGGAAAAGCCAAAAAACCTCAAAAAAAAACAGTTTTTGGTCCATATCTCGGCAACCAGACCACTTAGCGACATGAAACATTTACCAATCGATTCCTGCCATAATTTAGAACAATATTGCCGAAAAAAGTTTTTTAAAAATATCTTTACGTTCGGTCACAAAAAATTAATTAAGAACATTTAAACTGAGCATCGTGTAGGCCTAGGATGATATTTACTACTTTTTTAAACTGAGCATCGTGTAGGCCTACTCGTTAAAATAAAACTATTTCCGTTGATATAGGTTAATATAGTTGTCTTTTTTTTTTTAGCGCTAAAAAATATCCTTTAGTTCGGTCACAAAAAATTAAAAATTGTTATGGATAACATAAGGAAATTGCGCTTAAATTGTCACTAGACTTTTTATCAACTTGTTTATTTATGTATGCTTGCAAATTTATTTTTTGTTGCATATAATATGCGAGGGGGGGGGGGGGGGGTAAATACTATGAGGGTTCAGTTACGGGTGGGTTGGGTGGGGGGAGGTAACGACCAAGAGGGGAATCACTATCTGGGTTACCTTCCAAGATCCCATTAAGATAGTGTTGATTTTATAATTCCGTTTTCATTGATTTATAAACCGGTAACGTTTTTCTCTTCCTCTGCAACATATAACAAATGGCTTGCTGCGTAACTAGATACCTTTTTAATCTCGTGTTGTATCATACTCTCGTCTACAATTTCATTTTTTGTTCGCTGATCTTCTCCAAATCAACATTTAATCTTCCTGTTTAACCCGGGCCACGTAGCTTATATTCCATCCTTATCCAAGTCTTGACGTCTGTTACATCTTGATATCGATCTAAAACCAGGCTACTGTCTATTTCAATTCTTTCAAACAAAACGTAATGACATTACTCAAAATAAACTCATTAATGGAAGAAAAATAATGATAAATCTAGAAATAAACGAAAGATAAAACCTTCTTTTAAAAAAATTAAATTTTCATTAAAGAAATTGAAAAGGGAAAAAAAACACTAACACAAAAAGCAAGAAACAATCAAAGACAACGTCGAAAAACAAACACAATTAATAGAGAATCGACGCTGTTGGCGTCTCCAGTAGCGGTGTTTAACTAAACACGGCAGAGGCTTTTAGACAGAAAAAAATAAACACAAAATTATTTCTATACAACGCGGCAAAATAGCTTAAAAATTGTCAATACACAAAAAATTATTTTCCTTTTGTGTATAAAAAAAATAAATTGAAACAAAATTGTTAAAAATATTTTCAACCATTTTGTTGCGTTTATGTAATGTTTTTTATATTCTTGTATTTAAATATTCTTAACAGCTTTGCTATGTGAATTAAAATAGCGAGGGATATTTTCGTGTGTTTCCACACAGTGTGTGAGAGATGGATGGTATCTTGTGTGGCTGGAAAGTTTAGTTTGGTGATCGTTGATTTGAAAACCTGTATAAAGAGTGTCGGTGATGTAGCTAAAGTTTTGGCCAGAGAGGTCAAAGTTCATGTATCATTTTTTACTGGGCAAGCATGTAGATTCAATGACGTTTTAAAGTTACATAAAAAGTTGGTTTACATTTTAAATTTCGTATGTCCTATAGCTTAAACATTTAAGTCAGGCGGTACTTCCAACATTCATATAATCACCAGACCTTCATTATGATGAATTACCTAACTTGTACAGATCCAATACAATTATACAAAATTGCGTGACTCAGGTTTTATCTGGTACCCAGCAGGTTGTCCGGGAGATGTCCGATAAAGTGTCGACGACAAACATCATGACGGACGGCATCGTAGAGTTGAACGTGGGCGGCGTGTTCTACAGTACTAGTCTGGAGACGCTGCGGAAGGAGCAGGACAGTTACCTGGCCAGGTTGTTCTCTGACGCCAACAAGAGCAAGGCACTCAGGGACGCTAAGGGCAAGTACTTCATTGACAGGGACGGTGTGCTCTTCAGGTGAGTCCAGGTGTCACGGTCCAGTGGGTGTCACGGTCTAGTGGTAGAGGTGGGTGTCACGGTCCAGTAGTAGAGGTGGGTGTCACGGTCTAGTAGTAGAGGTGGGTGTCACGGTCCAGTGGGTGTCACGGTCTAGTGGGTGTCACCTTCTAGTGGTAGAGGTGGGTGTCACGGTCCAGTAGTAGAGGTGGGTGTCACGGTCCAGTGGTAGAGGTGGGTGTCACGGTCCAGTGGGTGTCACGGTCTAGTGGGTGTCACCTTCTAGTGGTAGAGGTGGGTGTCACGGTCCAGTAGTAGAGGTGGGTGTCACGGTCTAGTAGTAGAGGTGGGTGTCACGGTCCAGTAGTAGAGGTGGGTGTCACGGTCCAGTGGTAGAGGTGGGTGTCACGGTCCAGTGGGTGTCACGGTCTAGTGGGTGTCACCTTCTAGTGGTAGAGGTGGGTGTCACGGTCTAGTGGTAGAGGTGGGTGTCACGGTCCAGTGGGTGTCACGGTCTAGTGGTAGAGGTGGGTGTCACGGTCTAGTGGTAGAGGTGGGTGTCACGGTCTAGTGGTAGAGGTGGGTGTCACGGTCCAGTGGGTGTCACGGTCTAGTGGGTGTCACCTTCTAGTGGTAGAGGTGGGTGTCACGGTCCAGTAGTAGAGGTGGGTGTCACGGTCCAGTAGTAGAGGTGGGTGTCACGGTCTAGTGGTAGAGGTGGGTGTCACGGTCCAGTGGGTGTCACGGTCCAGTGGTAGAGGTGGGTGTCACGGTCTAGTAGTAGAGGTGGTTGTCACGGTCCAGTAGTAGAGGTGGGTGTCACGGTCTAGTAGTAGAGGTGGGTGTCACGGTCTAGTGGTAGAGGTGGGTGTCACGGTCTAGTGGTAGAGGTGGGTGTCACGGTCTAGTGGTAGAGGTGGGTGTCACGGTCCAGTGGGTGTCACGGTCCAGTGGTAGAGGTGGGTGTCACGGTCCAGTGGTAGAGGTGGGATATTGTCACGGTCCAGTGGTAGAGGTGGGTGTCACGGTCCAGTGGTAGAGGTGGGATATTGTCACGGTCCAGTGGTAGAGGTGGGTGTCATGGTCCAGTGGTAGAGGTGGGATATTGTCACGGTCCAGTGGTAGAGGTGGGTGTCACGTCTAGTGGATGAAGTGGGAAATTGTGTGGTCATAGTTTAGTTCTCCGGCTCAAAGTTTCAGGTGGTAAATATCAAAACTCATTTGTTAAGGTAGATAAAAGTTCAGTGGTTTATGCTAGTAATACCATGGTGTTAATTGGTGGTTTATTAGTTGAATATCATGAGGATTCATTTAACAGTTTTGTATTTTGGTCGACGAATAATTTGTCTCAACCATAGTCTAGCTAGGGCAAGAAATCTCATCTCAACTCACTGTTTACAAAATCAATTGGTCTCCGATGAAAATATTAGTTTAAATATCAAGTAATAAAATATATTAAATATATACTGCAACAAAACATAATTAATTAGATTAAAATTTTGTCGAATATTTTATAGGAAAAAAATTGCATAAAATACACGTTTTACTTGTGAGACAATGTTAGACAACTGATGATACTCATTATGTGTGGATTACATCCCCTTAATCGTGAGTTTAGTGAAACAATCTGGGTTGGGTGTAAACCTCACATTTCATTATCACGTTCGTTCTTATCGTGTCGATCATTCGCAGCTAAATGTATTTTGTAATCACCAATATCTGAGATAATTGAAAACCTAAAATAAATTTAGGGAATTAAAAATAATTGAAAGCTTAAAATAGGCTTACCAATTAAAACTAAAAACGTCCATTTTTTTTTAGATAACGCATTATAATTTTACACCCGCTTATAATTTAAAATGCTGTTTTTACGCCAAACTAATTAACTCTTTCATTAGCCGTTGGTATTTTTATACGCCCTAATTGATCATTTTTCTAGCACGTAGTTCCTCGTCATGCATGTTTGATGCGCGCCTTAATTTCGCCCAGGTAATTAAATTTCTAATCAACCCACACGATAAGTACATCCAATTGAGTAACTCCCCCCCCCCCCCCCCCACCGTTATCTCAGCTCTCCTTACTCACCATCTTGAACTGGAGATTTTTTTATAAGTCCCATCTAGGTCAAGGTCAAAGCTTATTTTTGATCGATAAAATATCAGCGTCTGGCTAATGTCTATATAAATAAATGTGCCTTAGTCAACAATAAGATTAGTTTAATGAGATTGGTAAAGATTCAAAGCTGTAGATAGCGTATGGTAGGTAAAACATTGTTGTAACATTAGCTAAAATACATTTTTTTTCTAAATGTACACTTCTGAGTTAAAAAAAATAAATATCAGTGAAGTTATTTCAAGGGAGTAGGCGTTTGTTTATCATTTCGACCGTTGTAATACATCAACAGCTGTCGCAACTTAAGAGTTGGATCAGTTGTTGCACTGTTGTATGTATTTACAATTTTATACTCTAGTGTTAAACGTGTCTTAGATTAATCGCGAGTTTATAAGTGCTGTTTCATGATGTTGATGCAGAAATGGAAATGTTGTTTTGAAGTTAGACAATAAAATCTTGGTGAAATCATGTTGTCCAAATGTCAATTTTTTTGTTCTGTTTTTAACTGTAAGTAGTTTTATTTTAATTGTGTGTGTTTAAGCATTCAAACGAACATTATCATGACGCAATTTCTAAGATAGTTATCAAACAAAAATTATTTGATGGTGTTATCTCTTTTAGATTCGTCAATGTATAGTTATTAATAAGAAAACATACGTTTCGCTTGTAAAACCAGTCATTAACTTGCAAATGACCTGTATCTCCCCAGGTATGTCCTCGACTATCTCCGCAACCTGAAGCTTGTGTTACCTGAGAACTTCCACGAGAAGGAACGTCTCAGGCAGGAGGCCGAGCACTTCCAGCTTCCCAACCTGGTCAAGATCGTCAACGCCTACCCGTCAATCAAGGCACATCACGTGACGCCCCTGCCCGCCCTGGGACAGATCAAAGACCCCGCCCCCGTCAACCAGCACCTGTCCCCACAGAGCACCTACCCCCAGAGACCCCCGGCGTCACCCCCCGCCACCAACGACTCCGCGTCACCCACGGGGGACAACATGGTCAACAACGCCAACTCCTCCCCGTCCCCCATCAACGAACGCAGCAACGGGTTCATCACCGTCGGCTACCGGGGCACGTTCGCCTTCGGGCGGGACGGGCTAGCAGACGTCAAGTTCCGGAAGTTGAGCCGTATCATCGTCTGCGGGAAGGTCTCGCTGTGCCGGGAGGTGTTCAAGGACACGCTCAACGAAAGCCGAGACCCGGACCGCGGGGAGTTCGACCGTTACACCAGCCGCTTCTTCCTGAAGCATTCCTTCCTGGAGCAGGCCTTTGACATGCTGCAGGAGGAGGGGTTCACGCTGGTGGGCAGCTGTGGGTCAGGCACCAACAGCGCCGGGGAGGTCAAGCCCGGTCTGGACACGGAAGAGGCCAAATGGCAACATTATAACGAGTTTATTTTCGAGCGGCGCTGATGGACTGTTGGGGGATTTCAAGAATCGGTGGGTGCAAGCCTTAAATTTACGGTATTGATACCTTCTTTATCGCGTGCGTCAAGATCGAATCTGCACCGTTTGCATGTTGGGCTGGAAACTTGTGCTGCAGAGCCATTCAAGCTGATTTTTTTAATGTTTTTATTTTATTTTGAAACAAACAATGAAACAATTCACAATGTAAACATTTCAAATGTGCACTAGTTCCCCAGGACACCTTTGCATCCATTACCCTAATTTTTTCTCGCATCATAAACTTCACAAAATAAAAAATTTACTTCATTACTTGAAGCCATTTGATCCGGCAAATAGATTTTACAAAATCACCTTTATAAAAATTTCTAGGCCTGCGTAGTGTATTTTTTTTAATGATGTATATTGTAGCTTTTTATAGACAAATATATTGTATAGAGCCGCTCATTAAAGAATTTAGAAAATTGAGCCCAGTATTAGAGAAAACAGGTACAACTAGTTGTGCATATATAAAGCACCTGTATATCGATTACCTGATGTCCAAGGTTTAAAATCTTGACCACTGTCTACTTTGTTATTTTGTCTTTAACTTTAACGTAGTATTTAGTCAATAGTTGTAAAAGAGTTGCTTCCCCTTAAGTTAAAAAAAGAAAACCTATCCAACTATAGCTCCCCCCTCCCCACATACACACCCACTCTAAGCAAATCCTGTCCACCTAATGAAATACGTGTTCTCTGTGTCCAGGCTGGTAAGACTTTTCAGCTAGGGCAGATGGGACGTTAGGGCAGATGGGACGTTAGGGCAGATGGGATGTTAGGGAAGATGGGATGTTAGGGCAGATGGGATGTTAGGGCAGATGGGATGTTAGGGCAGATGGGACGTTAGGGCAGATGGGATGTTAGGGCAGATGGGACGTTAGGGCAGATGGGACGTTAGGGCAGATGGGACGTTAGGGCAGATGGGATGTTAGGGCAGATGGGATGTTAGGGCAGATGGGACGTTAGGGCAGATGGGACGTTAGGGCAGATGGGATGTTAGGGCAGATAGCATAATCGGCTGTTGGGGTAAATAAAATAAAAATAGGATACTAAGAAAACGTTTTGTGACCATTACTTGGGTTATCTTTCATTTATGCACCATTGATTGTATGAATATATCGTATAAACATGAACGTACTGTATGATCATGTTATAAAATATATTATACTCACAACACATATGATTTTGACATGAAAATGTAATATGAACATATTGTATGAATATGTTATATGAATATATTGAATGAATATTTACATATTATGTTACATAAACGTGCCGAGTGAGAAAATTGTATGAGGATGCCGTCTGAACATGTATGGGCATAACATATGACAATATATGAACATATCGGAATGAACGCATCACAGGAAAATGTCGAATTAAGATGTCGAATGAACAAATCGTATGAGCATATTGCATAAATATGTATGGTCATATTAAATATGTCGAATGAACAAATCCTATGAGATGTACATAAACATGTATCATCATTTTGAATATGTCTAATGAACAAATCGCATGAACATGCCGTACTGACATGAGGTTTGATAGACAATAATGTTGGCCCAGTACTGCAAACAGTGTTTTGTCACGCATGGTTGAACTTCAGTGTATATCTTTTTGGTTATCATTTCAGCTGTTTAGTTATAGTTGACGTCACACGTATGTAGTTAACGACACGGAATATGTTTCTTTATGTTCGTTGTTTCTGTCTGTCTGTCTGTCGTCAGTGGTCATTGGCCGTCCATTTGTACCGGTCAGTGGTCATCGGTATTTCTGACGGTTAATGGCCGTCCATTTTTGTGACGGTCAACGGCCGTCCATTTTTTGACGGTCAACGGCCGTCCATTTTTCTGACGGTCACGGCCGTCCATTTCTTCTGATGGTCAACGACCGTCCATTTTTCGACGGTCAACGGCCGTCCATTTCTTCTGACGGTCAACGACCGTCCAGTTTTGGACGGTCAACGGCCGTCCATTTTTGTGACGGTCAACGGCCGTCCATTTTTCTGACTGTCAGAGGCCGTCTATTTGAATAAAGATTAAGAAACAGCGAAACATTACATTGCACTGATGAAGTATTCAAATAACAAAAACATTTTCTCACTAACGTGTTTAACTAACATATGTTGAACCATTAAATGCGCATGGCTGCTGAGTACTCGTATTATGTACATTGTAACAAATGTGGCGCTTGTAATAGTAACATATGTAACACTTCAGTATAACATTTTCGTCCCACACATCGGTACAACATCTATGTTAATTTAAAGTTAGTACAATGTAACTATGCGATGGGTCACTAAATTGTAGAGTATCGGAATTTTGTACTGTAAAGTAGTGCCCTGTTGTAGAGTATCGGAATTGTGTACTGTAAATTAGTGCCCTGTTGTAGAGTATCGGAATTGTGTACTGTAAATTAGTGCCCTGTTGTAGAGTATCGGAATTGTGTACTGTAAATTAGTGCCCTGTTGTAGAGTATCGGAATTGTGTACTGTAAATTAGTGCCCTGTTGTAGAGTATCGGAATTGTGTACTGTAAAGTGGTAATCTATCACACAACCGACGCTAAATTCTTTTCTATACAAAATTAAAGTAGTCTTAGCTCTGAAACAAACCAAATTACCAACTCAATCTCAAATCTAATTTATGGCCTTTTTGTTTAGTAATTAATGTAATTAATGTCGTCATCAACAGATCCCAATAATTTATTCATAGTTAACCAATCTAGCCTGCCTCGTTTTGAATGAAAAATATTTTTTCATAAAAGAATGAATTTTTTAAATACTTGTACTTGGAAACTCAATTTTAAATAGTCGTCTGAAATAAAACAAACTTTGTTTACTAAACCCAATAAGGATCGTTAGTTCTCTACATATCGTGTTGCTTAATTTTAGCCAATTTAGCCCCACTTGACCCCTCTGTAGCCATATGTTTCAAAGGTCGTAAGCGAACTTCTGAGCTAAATTCCCAGCCGCTACACCTCCACCTCATATAACGTAGCTTAACGTAAATAAGGACCTTAAAAATTCAAAATGTAAGTCACACTCACCCCTCCCCCCCCCCCCCCTTCACAGTCCACCCATCCAACCACCTCGCTGCACATCAGTCTGTGACGTCATATAGGTACTGCCTCTGAAAGTAAATTTGGAGAGCAGGGCAAAAATGTAGTGTACCTTGACAGGTTACCTTGGCGTGTGGTAGATATGGAGCACATACATGCCATAGAAGGTCAACATATCCAGAGTCACCACATATAGGACGTACAGAGTCAGGATGTACAGTCGACACATACAGGCCACACATACAGTCAGCACATACAGGCACAACAGACGAGCGACTAAACAAAAGATGAGTGTTGTCAGTCTCGCACTACAACATTAATATATGAGATAAGGGCCTGTCATCAACGTCATATGTCATATGTCACATCAGATTCCAGTGTGATGTCATTTCCCATGCCAGACATCGTATGTCAGATGTGTTGCGTCACACACGTCAGATGTCATCCCAGGTCAGTCTGACTTCACTAGGTCGGTTTGAGCAAGGCCATGCTGTGGCTAGTCGGCTTACAGCTTGCATCACGTGATGTATTCATGTCCAACGCGATTGGTTGATATGTCAAGACTAAGGGATTGTGCGCTTCAAAAGTCGTCGCTCTTTACGCCAGATGTTAGTGAATGAAGATATGAACTCGCTTCAAATGATTGTGTTAATTACTAGAAATGCGAATAAATTGGTTCTTGTTATATATTTATATATATATATATATATATATATATATATATATATATATATATATATATATATATATATATATATATATATATATATATATATATTGTGAAAGTGCTTTGAGAACTATTCCAAGACCCACACAGCTTGGTAAATGAGGTGGATGTTGATTTGCTACAAGCTTCTGTGTGTACGCCAGCAGCATACGATCCTACTAATTATCTAGAGATTACTCGTCACGTGATACCCGCGTCTCTATGCCCTGTGTACACTGCTGGTCAGTCTTGACCATTGAAACCGCGGCGCGGTATTGACGCCGTCGTGGCCGGTGTTTGTGCGGTATTGGTCGGGTACCCTCCAAGGGGAAGTAATTAACGTCTGCGCTTGAAGAGTCAACATGGACGTTACATGGGCCCCAATAAGCCGGGTGTACCATCCGGCAACCGGGGAAACGCACGCAATCAATCCTGGCCACTTCCTGTCGAGATAAAACTAGCTCTGTTGCAACTTCCTAATCAGTTCTTCAAATGACATCTGGTTATAAATGAAATGCACGGTGTTTTATTAAAGTTTTTAAATATCGATACATTTATGAATAAGTTCAGAAAAAATATGTTAAACAAATTATATCCAATATGCCTATCAAATTATTGATCATTTGATTCGAATTCGTTACGCTGTTTCTTGTTTCAAATGAGAAACGTTAATTATTATTTTTTTGTTTGAACACATGTAGTATAGATAAATGTGATACAGAAGTATTTTATTCAGTTTTAAATGTATAATTTGACGATGTTTTACAAAATGTAATGCTTATGCATGTTTAAAATTTAATTTCTTGGTGATGTTGCGCCCTTAAGTTTGTATAATACACTCATTGATGTACGATAATAAACATTTCATGGAGTTATGTTTTGGTTAAGTTTGTGTCATTTGGCCATTCTACAGTCTGGAGTTATACTTGACTTACTGAGACGAGAATTCGACGTATAATTCACATCAAATACAATTAAGGATTAAGATTAGATTATCGTATCCACGGGACCAACAAATTAGGGTTAGGGCAGTGGCGTAGCGAGGTCGGGTATGGCACTTAATGGTGTCACCCCCCAGAGGCGTAGCTACCCTTCCCGGGGACAAACTTTCAAGTTTTCGTTCGATTTGCACCCCCCTCAAACTTTTGATTTGCACCCCCCCCCCTCAAGTTTTCGATTTGCACCCCCCCCCCCCCTCAAACTTTCGATTTGCACCCCCCCCCCTCAAGTTTTTCTCTATATATTTTGCTATTTTTTGCCTTGGTGTCACCCCATCCCCCCTAAATGGTGTCACCCGGTTGCGGTCAGTACCCCCAGCCCCCCACCCCCCTTGCTTCGCCTCTGGGTTAGAGTTTGATGTTAATCATAGCTATCGGAACACCAGACGGTTTACAAAACACCTCAAGCAGTAGACAACTGATAGGTGTGTTCATGTTTTTATGATACGGTTCACGCAGGTGTGGAAGAATGACGTACTGCCTAACAGTAACCAGTGTATTAAATCTGGATTTGGTTAATACAAGCTGTAGACCCCCCCCCCCCCCCTTTTTTTTTATTTTCCTGACCTTCTAGGTAAGAATTAATGAAGTTTTAATTATATTGACGTCATTTAAGGAGAATGGGCAAATAATAATAATAATGTGGATGGATGTGTCAGAGGGAACAGTGATTTCTGACGTCAATTCAACACGTAAGGGTGATATCAACGAAGGACGTGTGACTGTATTAAAGTCATGATGAACGTCCAGTGACTTTTGTTCCTGTACACAGGAAAAGACGTCCGTTCAGACGTCACCACGTCATTGTTATCTGACGTCCCGTTATCTTTAGGAAACACTAGACTAACTTACAGGAGTTTACAGAACGATTGTTGATTTATATGTATTTTTTGCTTAATTTTACTACGATTTTTAGAGCTCAAACTGAGTTTCGGTGGTGGAATTAACACTTCCGAGTGTGGAAATTCTGGGTCAGGCCAAGACATATAACAACCAGGCTACTAGCTGGACAAAGTTCTTGAATCTAAATTACATCGATACAAAGTTCTTGAATCTAAATTACATCGATAGTATGATAAAACTGTCATACATTAAATAACCCCGATACCACATTCTTATATAAAAGTTGTAATATAAGTTACAATCTTGCATTCGAAGTAGAGTTTGCTGGGTGCATATGGTATGTACAAACACCTTGACTTTGTCCCATCATGACTCAAGTATCCGTCAAGTACTCACGGGCACATTCAGGACTGCCGGTTGGGAACCGAACTTCGACCATCGGAGTAGCTATTATATTCTCGCCTACTCAACCACGCCGTCCGGGTCGTCTGTAGTAAAAAATATCTACAAACCTTATCAAGCCCTAAAACTAACCCGCAGTGCAGTCACCTCACTAATCAAAAGTGCGGCCACCTCACTATTCCAAAGTGCGGTCACCTCACTAATCCAAAGTGCGGCCACCTCACTAATCCAAAGTGTGGCCACCTCACTAATCCAAAGTGGACCACCTCACTAATCCAAAGTGTGGCCACCTCACTAATGCAAACTGCGGCCACCTCACTAATCTAAAGTGTGGCCGCCTCGCTAATCCAAAGAGCGGCCACCTCACTAATCCAAGGTGTGGCCACCTCACTAATCCAAGCATTTTGCTGTTCACTAGACGAGCAGTTGTGAGGGGTTTATTTACTAACGGGTATTTCCGCTAACGGGCAAAAGATAACATTGGATGTTTACTTAACGTCTGTGTGAGCTTTGTCTAAGGGCGATAATAGCACAATGGATGCGGCCAAGGGATTATCGCCCGCGATCCTTCCATCCTTATCCATCATCTGAACTAATCTGGGGGTTGCCGGGTGCACTGGCTATGGCCCATCACTGAAGACACAAGCATTCGGGTTTTTAGATCTTGCTGGAGTAATAATAACATGCAGCCAGGGGAAACAAAAAACCTCGCACGCAATAATCTCCCTTTTGACCTCTGCTGGAGTTGTCTTTCGTGATATTTTTTTTCTGTGTAAGGGCTTTACGATACACACCACTCAGCTCAAATAAACGGTTTCAGTGGCCA